GTCTCTCGGTCATTTCCACTGTTATCCCAGAGGGGGCAATGGTGGCCTTTCAAAAGCACCAGGAGCTTCCACTGAAAAGTGTGGCATTGACCTAGCCATTTCAAATCTTGAAGAAGATGGACATTCCATTCTGAGTTGGTTTGGGCATGAAGGCAATGAACTGTCATCCTAGCACTGCACAGTTAAAACAATTAACATCTGTACCACCAGAGCATCTTAACAAAGAAACTATTTTCTTAATGAATAACATAGTAAGTTCCAGGTGTGATGTATACTGTATACATTGTGGGCAAATTGTTTCCAAATCTTCATGGATCACGCATCAGGTCTTCAAGATTTTAAAACAAATGTCTTGAAACTGCCCATCTTTCTCCCTTGAACAAGAGGTGGATTCCTGGTGATGGCAATGGCCTATGGTCAGCTGCATAACACCCTATGGACTAAGCAGATGAGGGATTGACCTCCACACCACCCCTAATCCTTACTGCCCACGTATGTCATGTGCTTAAGTGTCCTTTGAGTGTTGCAATCCCTGAAGATGTGCGCGCTCTGCTTCCCTGGAGACCTGAGTCCCCAGATTGCAGCGCTTCAGGTCTCGCAGTCACACGCATCTGCACAATTGAAATTGGCACAAAGGGCTGCAGATAGAAGGCTGGTTCTTTCCTCACTTTTGTCATTGAAATCTACGTTTCAGTCCATGCACCTCTTACTAAAAAGACCCCGCCCACCTGAGGGTCACCTGTTTTTTTTTCGTTTTGACTATAGGACAAAGAGCAGAAGGGAAATAAAGCAGCTGGATTCTCAACTCCAAGGTAGGAACCAAAGCTCCGCGTCGGGGCTGCGGTCGTCGTTTCCGCCCGGAGGTAATTTTGTGCGACACTCTGCAGCTCCAACCGGAAGTTGACAGGTGGCGCGTGTCTGCGGCTGCTGCGTTTCGTCCGCGGCTGTTGGGACGGAACTTTCCTTTGTCTCCGTCACCTGAGGCCGAGCAGGTGACCGCTAGTGGCCCTCCCGAGGCCGAGGCGGCGGCTCCCACCGTCCGGTCGTGTCCGGTGTGTCCCGGGCCTTCCCTCTCCGCCGCGGCCGCCGCTTCCCGCCATTCCCGCCGCCGCGGCCTCCACTGCCCAGTGTCCGGAGCTGCCGAGCGTGTGTCCCCCGGGCCGGAGGTGAGTGTGCGCGGAGGACCAGGGTGCTGGTCAGTCCCCGGGGGTCGGGAGGTGAGTGTGCGCGGAGGACCAGGGTGGTGGTCAGTCCCCGAGGGTCGGGTATGAGCGTGGACGGAGGACCAGGGTGGTGGTCAGTCCCCGGGGGTGTCGGGACGTGAGAGTGCGCGGAGGACCAGGGTGGTGGTCAGTCCCCGGGGGTCGGGAGGTGAGTGTGGACGGAGGACCAGGGTCGTGGTCGGTCCCCGGGGTCGGGAGGTGAGTGTGGACGGAGAATCAGGGTGGTGGTCAGTCCCCGGGGGTCGGGAGGTGAGTGTGGACGGAGAATCAGGGTAGTGGTCAGTCCCCGGGGTCGGGAGGTGAGTGTGCGCGGAGGACCAGGGTGGTGGTCAGTCCCCGGGAGGTGAGTGTG